GAGGACAGGTAGCTTTGTGTGTCATCTGCATATAAATGATTATGGAAGCCAAAGGAGCTGATGAGTTTACCAAGGGAGGCAGTGAAGACTGAGAACAAAAGGGGACCAAGAACAGAACCTTGGGGAACGCCAACAGAGAGGGGTTGGGGAGAAGAGGCAGAGCCAGAGAAAGAAACACTGAAAAAGCCCTGGGAGAGGTAGAAGGAGCACCAGGAGAGAGCAGTATCCCGTAGACCAAAGTTACAGAGAATGTGAAGAAGCTGTTGATGATCAACAGTGTCAAAGGCTGCAGAAAGATCAAGGAGAATCAGGATAGAGTAATGGCCACAAGATTTAGCAGCGATTAAATTGTTGGATACTTTGGTCACAGACATTTCAACAGAGTGATGAGCGTGGAATCCAGACTGAAGCGGGTCAAACAGAGAGTTGGATTTGAGGAAGTCTGTCAATCTCACATTCACAACTCTCTGAAGGATCTGGGAGGCTGGCAGTAGCGATATAGGGCGGTAGTTGGATGTGGAGTTGGGGTCGACATTGGGCTTTTTCAGACTTAGTGTTATGGTTGCATGCTTGAAGGGTGAAGGAAATGTGCCGGAGGAAAGGGAGAGATTGAAAACTTTAGTGAAAGGAAGAGCAAGAGAGAGACCTGATCCACAATTTTGTGTCTTGTGAAAGTGTCTTTGCCAGATTCTGATCTGTAGAATATAGAATGTATGATAATCCTAAAAGGACACTGTAGGCACTATAACTACTTAATCTCATTGAAGTGCTTATAGTGTCTCCTCATGCACGCCCGAACACACCCTTCGCTGCATTCTAAAATAATGCTGGTATGGTCTGAGGTCTCAGAGGAGGTATGCGGGGAGAGGAAGGTGCACGCTACTTGAGCCTGAACTAAAGCAAGCTGAAGTGTATTATCCCCTTATGGACACATGACGGAAATTTTACATCATATTGGCCTTTTGCTCCTGAAGCTTTGTCTTTATAGGGATAAAGTAAGTTCCTATAAGGGGTTTGTTGTTGGTTTTTTTTGTTTCTTTGTTTGTTTTTTATTTGAACTAAACTGCAAACTGTGGTAACTGACAAGGGCATAACCATTGGCCAAAAAAATCCAAACATGAAAAATTCTCCATTTCAGCTACATTTTTATCTCCTTTATCAGTACTCCACCATTTTCGGTTTAACAAATAACCACCATAAGCGTTAAATCATTGGTTATCTTCTCTGACTGCAACTTGCTAACAATGTATCATTGTATGATAATGTATTACTGAGATACAGAATACTTCCTGTTTAAGTTTTCATTTTCTGTTTTTACGGTTAAATATTACATTTCGAATATGATAATGTAAACATGCAGATGATATGTTGCTTATAAAGAATATTTTCTCACGAATAAAAACATGAACATCTAACCATCTACAAAATGCTATTTCAACCTATTGTTTTTTATATCATTGAAACTGGCATAATGTTAGAAAACGTACTACATTTGTTACTTTTATTTGACTTTTTTTTTGGTAAAATTCATGAAAACAAACCTATGCAATTTGCCACAGTTACCATGTTACAGTTTGCTCTGTTTCATGAACATTTCTTCATGGAGGGAGTGGCAATAATCTCATCGCAGAGCATCACAGGATTACCTCAATACACCAGTTTTATTTGCAAGGATGATTATATCCCAAAGAGATTATAGACTGCAGGCTAAGCTGCAGCCCCTAGACTCACTGTTGTCCCATTCACTGTACTAACATCTGTTTTTATCTGATTTATATATTTATTTTTCTTAATATTGTCACGCAGTATCAGGCATACCCAGACAAGCAAAATATAAAACAGTTTGTGAGGAAACACATTGCCACAAAACATCATTGGTTCCTTTGTAGATGTATGATTTTAAATAGTTTTATTGATTGGGAAAATACACTAGATTTAGAATAATTTTTTGCTGTCTGTTTAGTGTAGACATAGGCAAACTACATCTCCCCTGATGCTTTACCTGCATTATTGCTGTTAGAGCATTATGCTATACATTAGGACTTTCAGCATCATTGGAATCCCCATAGGAAAACAAGTGAATAATGCTTTTCTATGGAAAAATCCTAATGCCGCACATGTGCCTTAGGTCTCACCTGCCAACCAACGTCAGTGGGAGAGGAGCGTGGGCGGAGCCATGCCAGAGCTAAGGGACATTGGCGCTGGACTCAGTAAGTGAAAGAAGGGGTTATAAACCCCTTCTGCACCAAGTGGTGGAGAGGGAAGCAAGGGGGTGAGGGGGGAGCCTTGACAGAGGGGGAAGCTATAGTGCCAGGAAAATGAGTTTGTTTTTCTGGCACTATAGTTTCCTTTTAATATTGTCTTATTTGGGAGTGCTCGGTTTACAGCTAATGTCACAATTGGCAGAATCTGTAGTCCAGCTCCCTCTACCCGACTCCAGTCTACATTGCTTGCCAGAGTCCCTGCCCCTTGCATTTTAATTGGCTGGTGGCCTCACATACGCCATTGCTAACTGACAAATGGGCTGACAGAGGATTGCTCACTAAACAACAACCGTTAGCGAATTCGAAACAAGATTGCAAAATATAGGCAAGATAGACAAGCTGTGCTTTAGATTTTTTTCATAATACGTTTTTGTCTAAATTGCATAATGTAAATACTGTGTTTAAATCCTGCGTTGTGCATAGTTTTTACTGAACAAATGCATACATATAGTATATGTCAAAACCAAATCTAAACAGATAAAGCGTTTTCAGGATACGAAGACTGTCAAATAAACAATGCAACAATCAGACATTCTGTACAAGTGCGCAGCCTTCTGCAAATATTTCTTATCATCAGTGTCACTTACTACACAAAAAACAAATAATAATCTATTTTTTTAAATGCCTCAAATTGTGATATTACCTTATGAGTACTCTAGATAGTGTTCGCCTGTAAATCACATTTATATTGATTTCATAGATGGTTATCTTTTTTAAATCTCTACTTACCCAGGTCAGATGTTCTTGATAGAACCAGTTGAATAATTCCCAGAACTCCTGCCCCCAACAGAAAATCATAATATCACTTCACCTCATTATATATGATACCGGCAGATAAACACTGATCCTATCCACGGATTGATTCACTTATCCACATATGCTGAATTGACTGTGGAATTGCTATTTGCTATACTAATTGAGACCCATCTGGAAAATTCTCCAATACTAATCCAACTTGGCTATCCAGGCCTATCCTTCTGTTTAGTTGCCAATGCACTGTTAAGCAAAAACATCATCATTAATCACCAAATTTTGCCGGGATGGCCAAAATCTGGTGAAAATGACTGAAATCCGACCACAACAGCAAATACCATATTTAGTAAACCCAAAAATGGTCGAATCTGCAGCAATCACCCGGATGCATTTGACGTCCAGACAAAAATTGGTGTTTTTGCATTCAAGTTCTTTACAATGTAAAAAAGATTCACAAAGCACCGATTTTAAACTGAATAGGGACCAAATGCATCAAGCAGGACGGACCTTCTCAAATGATTTTTCACTTGCTTTTATGAAAGCAAGTAATAATTATAAGTAGTAATGTAGTACGATTTAGGTAAACTAGAAAAATGGTCAGAGTTGTTGCAGCTGACGTTTAATGTGGATAAGTGCAAGATAAAAACCCAAGGGCAGAGTACAGAATATTTGATAGAGTCCTAACCTCAACATCTTAAGGAAAGAGATTTAGGGGTGATTATTTCAGATGACTTAAAGGTAGGCAGACAATGTAATAGAGCAGCAGGAAATGCTAGCAGAATGCTTGGTTGTATAGGGAGAGGTATTAGCGGTAGAAAGAGGGACGTGCTCATGCCAGTGTACAGAACACTGGTGAGACCTCACTTGGAATATTGTAGACAGTACTGGAGACCGTATCTTCAGAAGAATATTGATACTTTAGAGAGAGTTCAGTTTAGAGAAGGGCTACTAAACTGGTTCATGGATTGCAGGATAAAACTTACAAGGAAAGGTTAAAGGAACTTAACATGTATAGCTTTGAGGAAAGACAAGCCAGGGGGGATATGATAGAAACATTTAAATACATAAAGGGAATCAACACAGTAAAGGAGGAGACTATATTTAAAATAAGAAAAACTACCACAACAAGAGGACATAGTCTTAAATTGGAGGGGCAAATGTTTAAAAATAATATCAGGGAGTATTACTTTACTGAGAGGGTAGTGGATGCATGGAATAGCCTTCCAGCTGAAGTGGAGGTTAATACAGTAAAGGAGTTTAAGCATGTGTGGGATAGGCATAAAGCTATCCTAACTGTAAGATAAGGCTAGAGACTAATGAAAGTATGTAGAAAACGTGGCAGACTAGATGGGCCAAATGGTTATTATCTGCCGTCACAGTCTATGTTTCTATTAATTAAACAATGGGGGTTGGATATACTGTTGGGAGGGTGGATAACAGCATGTCCAACCCCCATTGTTTAATTAATTAGATCCCCCTTCCACTGGTTGTGGGCTGGGTGGAGGACATTTGGACCTCCTCCTTTAATATCAAAAAGAGGACCCTCACCGCCCTTTAATATTATAGGCGAATACAGATACCTCTATCTTCTTGACAGTATGCATAGAGAAAACAACACACACACACACAAAATACAGTTTTAAATATTACAAGGGTACTTAAAATCAAGTTTTTTTGCAAACAAATATGAGATTCAGTCCACTATATAGCCATATCATGTTAAGTCCTCCACTATTAAACTGAAGAGTAGAAATGATCTCCCACAGGGAAGATCATAGTGCTGCCAGTAAGAAAAATGTACAACAATAATAGAACAGTGCAGAAAAGTGGCTAGCTATTCTAAAGGAAGCTTATCAGAGGGGGAGAGGGAGGGCATTGATAATGCAGAATACCCTTAAAAGTCCCTGGTATGAAAATAAAAAGAATATACCTTTATTGAATCATAAAAAATAAAAAAAATATTAAAAGAAAAAACCAGAGAGACAGTGAATTAAATCCCCAATGATAGCTAATATAATATTGAAAGAGATACAATTCCCTTAAATGATACAATAGTCCAAATGGCTAGTATTGCCAGTCGGACTTGATATAAAGGGACAGGAAATAGGCAGATAACCTTCAAAGGGTTAATGTAACTGAAGACAAATAGAGAGAAGGAACAGGGAAAGTCAAGGAAATAATGTTAAGGAGGAGAAGAGAACCCCCCCTTATCTGAAAAAATGCTGGGTTATTAAATATCAACCAGAAAAAATAATAATAATAGGTCTATGTAGACTCCTCAAAATTGGACCCTGTCCTCCTATTAAGCTCCTCAAGACTAAACCCTGTCCTCCTATAACACCTTCGTGGGTGTTCTAAGCTAAAGCTTATTCTGTGAGGTATCGCCAAGTATCTAATCCTCTGAAAGCATAGCTAGCTAGATATCACACATTACAAGAAATCCTGAGTCTAAGTGCCCATTTAGTGTAAAGCACAAATCCCTAGTGAAAACAAAACAGTGTAGTAAAGTGAAACATGCTAAAACCCGATGCGCGTTTCGGTGTACTGGTACACCTTCGTCAGGGGCTGAAAATTGCCGTCTCGAAGACCGGGACTTTTAAATGTTGATGAGCCAATTGGATACAGGATCCCCTTATCGTCATTGGTGACGTATGGGATACCCCACGCGTCACCTGTGAGTTGCCGTCATCACGCATCGGTGGGGAAATGGGTGGGTAATTCGTTTACTGATGTCCTTTGATTGACGGATCCGTAAGTATGAGACTAATCCCCCCAGACTGATATAGAATTAATGAGTGCCTGTATTGCGCCTTACATAAGCAAGGTGCTAGTATAAAAGTCAAGGCATTGGAGACCCCTGAATTAGGATTTAGAGGTGAACAAATAAAGTAACAGTATAATAGCAAAGATAGAGATTGCTTTTTTCCAAATAAAGGTCCGATACCTGACCTAATACAGCTTGTTATGGTGTTCATTATTTCATTGTTAACACTGGACTCAATGGTTTCTGATTTACTCAATGTCCCTTCTGTTGTACAGTTTATATTAATATTTATTATTATTATGTTAGGCCTATTAGTTATACAATTTAAATGATCTGTACTGTTTATATTAAATACATTGAGTTATTCAGTTTAATTAGATTGTACTATGGTACCTTTAGATCTAAACCATTGCTATAAAGTGTTGAATGACAAAAGTATGACACCCAAAAAGACTGTATTTAGGACAATCTCCTAAAGGTTAAGGCTGTTTATTGTGAGCTGTTCAAAAAAGGGGCTCCAAAGTTATAGACTTTACAGAAAGGCTAGTTATATCCTAAATTGGCTTAACTTATTGAATAGAGTGAGAGTGGATATGGTTTGACCAAGATTTAATTACAATCTAAATGTCTGATGTGTGTTATATATACAGTTATTATATACAAAGTCTATTTACAAGTTGTCAACATTTAAGATTTAGAGATCATATGTTAAATGAAAAATAGAGAGGATTCATCATTTCAATGACCCCTAAGTTTACCTTCAGTAAATCATGTAATGAAGGGGGAATAGGAAAATCCCTCATTGAGTCCCTTTGGGGACAAGGTTTGCAATTCGATAAATCCAATAGCATTCCCTCTTCCTGATACGCTCATCCCAGTTGCCCATCCTTTGAATAACTCAATGTATTTAATATAAACAGTACAGATCATTTAAATTGTATAACTAATAGGCCTAACAGAACAGAGCACCGAAACGCGCGTTGGGCGTTAGCATGTTTCACTTTACTACACTGTTTTGTTTTCACTAGGGATTTGTGCTTTACACTATATGGGCACTTAGACTCAGGATTTCTTGTAATGTGTGATATAAGGGTATTCTGCATTATCAATGCCCTCCCTCTCCCCCTCTGATAAGCTTCCTTTAGAATAGCTAGCCACTTTTCTGCACTGTTCTATTATTGTTGTCCATTTTTCTTACTGCCAGCACTATGATCTTCCCTGTGGGAGATCATTTCTACTCTTCAGTTTAATAATCAATTCGGGTACAAGCCCAAGGTAAGGCTGGCACCACCATCTGACCATACAGCTCTGTTTTTACCTCTTATACTCCATTTTTCCACCTATTGGAGTTGATTGGTGAACAAGACGTTAATTTTCTTCCTTTTCCCTAAGTCCACCACTATGTTACAGTACTCCAATATTGGTAGGTTCTACACTAATTTTAACATTAGAGACAAACATGCTAGCTGCAATACTTACTTCTTAAACGTCTTTCAGAAAGTCTCCTCAAATGTATGCTTTCTTGTGGTCAAGTCTAAAGGAACACATTTGATAGAGGGGTGAGGTGCTCAACCAAAAAAGGAATCTGAACCTTATCATTTTATTTATTTATTACTCCAAAAATTCTGTAGTGCCGTACAATTAGTGGAGGACGTACAATATACACAGACAAATACAAAAGGTAGAGAGGGCCCTGTACGTAAGCTGATAACTAGCCATTGAAGCTCTTTTATGCGAAGTGCTTAGCTAGATAGCCTGTGAGCTCACTATCTAACGGATAAAGTGAGGATTTGAGACAAGAGGTAGCAGGTGGAATTTGGAAGTGATGGCTAAAAGAAGTTATGAATGAAGAGGTAATTTGGTGAGTATCTCAAACAGCTGGAGGAGCATGCTATATATATTTAGGGGGAACCTGGGTTGGTGCTGAGAAAAAATGTAGAGCTTCTCTATTGTTGTTCCTGTTCCTGAAGAACAGAGATGGAGATGGAACAGTTATATGAAGATATTTACAGCCAGGAGGAGCAATGGAAAGAGGAAGAGGGTGAGGGTAGAGTAACCATGTGTTGTGTACAATTGCAAAGTTTAGCAGCCAAATTCTATCACCCAAAATATTAATAACTGTTTGCATGAAGTATTGGTCAGAAACATTAAATGACAATGATAAAAAACTGCATGCAGAGAAAATTACAGTGGCAAACTACAGGTACAATTGGTAACAATTCTATAGTAACACATGATAATATAGTAGCAATGTAAGATGTTGTGGGAGTTCCTGCAAGATTTTAAATGCAGAGCTTAACTTTTGTTGTTCCTGTGAGGTGATGCCTGGAGGTTGGGGGAGTTGCTGCAAGATGTTAAATGCAGAGCTTCACTATTGTTGTTCCTGTGAGTGTGAGGTGAGGCCTGGAGGTTGTGGGAGATGCTGCACGATGTTAAATGCAGATCTTCACTATTGTTGTTCCTGTGAATGTGAGGTGAGGCCACCTTAATCTGTATCTGTATAAATGTTGGTCCTAATAGTTGCACCACTTCTGAGAAATGCATATTCCGAATGTGCCCCCAATTCCCAAGGAAGGGACAAGCTGAACTGTTTTAGGAGTTTGGAGTGTTCCTTTAATTGATTTTACTGAAAACTATAATTCTAGGCAATGATTCCACACACCGAGATAAAAGCAGAAATGATAAGTTTTCAGCAAATGCATGGTCAGTTTTCTCCTCTTTCCCCAATTCCTCTCTCATGTCTGTGCCATGACACTGGGGTTTATTGACTAAAAGTTGAATTGTAGTGAATTGAAAACTTAATTTAAGAATAGTCACCTTGGGATTATTGCTGAGATGAAGAATTTATACAAAACTGTCATCTTTTGACCAAATTTAACAATTTTGGTTTTCAGTCAACTACAATTAGGTGTTTGGTGTTTGAACCTCTCTTTGATTGCTGTGAAGCAGGTATTTTAATACACTTTATAGTAGTGGTAGGCATAATATTTTCAAATGATCATTATTCCATGTTTATATATACACTATCTCCGCAGAGATACAAACTTCTTTCTTTTTAAGTCTACATTTGTAGTACAGAATAATCAATATATATCACTGTTGGGGATTATAAAATTATAGTATGATCACATGAAATGATGGATGCTGGGATTATAATAAATAACGTTCACTAGCAGACTGTAGGAGGATAACTGATGGAAAACCAATAATGTCAGTATGAGTGACATTACAGAATATTGTGTCTCTTCGCAGATAGTGCATAGATCTGCTACAGGAAGTATTCAAATGAGAGATAATAAACTAGGAGGATTTTATGACTTCCTCGGAATGTGTCACTTAACCGCGCATTTGCAGAAAAGTGTCTAAATATAAATGTAGTTACAGAGGCAATGGAAAGTACTGACAAAGGACTTTGGTATAGTCCAAGATTAAAAAAAGAAGACATGGTATTTCTGTTATAATACATCACACATTCCTGCGCAACATACATACAACACATGAATATGTGTCCTTTAAAGAAACTAAATGACAATAGTATAAAGACAACACTTTCTTACCTGTCTGACTATTAAAGAGTTAAGCAGCATTGTGCACAACTGTTTGTTTTACTATGGTGTCAATGTCTCTGAAATATTGCACGATGACTTTGTCTACTATTACATTTGTTTACATTATGAAAAATTATCCGTTATCCCTCCTACACTGTTGGAGAGACAATCCATGATGCTAAGCTGATCTTAAATAAAAAGAATATTGTATGAATTGCACAGCAGATTGAGAGTTACCTACATGCGGCCCACAACCTATAATGACCATGCTGAAGGAACAATGGGTGGCTATTTCACTTTTTTCTCTGATGCTCAAATTTGTTTTTGTCAGGTCTACTCAATTATATTTTTCTGCTATTTTACTTTCCTGATTTTTGCATTGCCCTCAAGGCAACAATTGTTTTTAAAAAAAATGTATTTTTATTTTTTTTAAATAAGACACGATTCTATTTTTTTGCACACAAAAAATAGGCAATGTTTCATATGGGATTTATGTGAAAGATGGTTAAGAAAACTGTCAATTAACAAATTACAGTTGATTACAGCCTGCCATATAAAACATAGCTTTGCTTTTTTACATATTATAACCGCAGATGTCAAAAACAAGACTAAATAACAATTTACTACTAAGTGTATAAACGTCACTATATTCAGCAATTAATAAAGTTCTCCAATTGAGTTTAAATGGAAACTACAGTGCTAGGTAAACAAAGTGCCCCCCTCCCTCGCGCACCTTTCCCCTCTCCCCCCCTTTTTGATACAGGAAGGGTTAAAAAATCTTTTGTCACTTAATTTATTCCAGCACCAATGTATAATGCTTTCCTATGGAATTTTGGGTGATACTGTATGTACTCATTCATAGCGTGAGGACGTCCGGCATCAGTTGTTGACCAAAAGTCGCCTAACCACTCGGGAGTCCCTCTAGTGGCTGGAGTTAACCCTGCAATGCAATTATTAAAAACTGCAATAAGTAGAATTGCAGGGCTAAGGGGCATGGGACACTACACCCAGATGACTTCAATGTGCCTATAGTGTCCCTTTAACCTCTATTCACACTGAATAACATGCTGGGAGAGTCGCAAAAATATCCCGAAAAAATAAGTGAATGACATTTATCAAAGTGCCCTAAAAAGTGATAGTAACATTTAGTAATTGTTAAAGTGTTCTAAAAGCGATATATAAAAAGTGACCCTTTTCATCTTAATAAATTCTGCTAGTTTTTTATTTCATAAAACTGCAATATTTAGAGTGCTGGAAAAAAAGAGAAGTAAAACAAAACCCTTGTGGAATGATTGATAAAAGCACTGCATTGTCGAACTAATGGTAATTAGGATACAAATAAAGCAACCGGTGGAAAAAAGACAACAAATTGAATCAAGTGCACTATAAATTTGCAGAAAATGAAATGTAAAAGTTTCAACGATACTTTGATATATCCCCGCCATTATTTTATAATAATTGCAGCATATCAGCATGCGATATCCTGGACTAGAGCTTTTAACATTACACACTTATCCATAATTTCCCAGAGTACAATCACTGTCACTTAATGTGTGTCACTTATAATGGGTTACACAGTGACCAGGTAGGCTATGTGTCTCCTAATTTTCTGAATAAGAAAGAAGATTAAAGTAATAGTTAATGCCCCCACATTACCACCATGCCTTCAACCTCCCTGAAAAAGCGCTTATTCACTGTATACCCTTAAAACATGACAACTTTCTGGCATCTGTAATCATGTCATTGCATTAACAGGTAGCACCAAAGGTACTGTGAGCAATGTATAGGCAATTATAATTGCATGATATTGAAGAGCAGAGAAGAAGGCATTTTAATTCATTCTCAACAATTATTAAGTTTAAAAAAATTGATTATGTCCTTCTATGTGCATAGCAATTTAGTGCAGAGACAGCCCTGTTTCTATTCATTAGAACAGTGTTGGAATGAATCATCAAAGAATATAACCTAGAATTCTAGCTGTCGTGCAGTGTTTTTTCCAGTGTTACATTTCTGCTAAGCTCTACACTTACATGTATCCCCTAGCACTTAAAGTCCCATTCAGAGAGATCACTATAATGGAATTTGTCCTTCTGCTTTAGATATATAATTATTGTCATTATTAGTATAAAATTAATTCAGCTGTCACTTTCAACCAATAAATTCCAACCAAAAATCGATGGAATTGCAATCACTACTACAGAGGTAGGAACTACAGCATGTGAAGAGAGCCTGGACCTCGGGAATCTAGGTAAGAGCTAAGTCACAGTGAGATAGCGCTATAATTACTGACTCCTGGCACCATAATCACTGAAGTGGGCTGTAGTTTCCTTTCCATCATATTTAAAGGGACACTCCAGTGCCAGGAAAACAAACTGTTTTCCTGGCACTGCAGATACCCTCTCCTTCCCACAACCCATCCAATGTTGCTGAAGGGGTGAAAACCCCTTCAGTGACTTACCTGAGACCCCCGCCGATGTCCCTCATCGGTGGTTTCGGGACCGCCCACGCTCCTCCCCCGCCAACGTCAATCCGGCGGGGGTGACCGATCACGCGTGTGCGGCTGCCAGTGGGGGAGACCTAATGTGCATGCACGGCAATGCCACGCTCGTGCATTAGACCTCGCCATAGGAAAGCATTGAAAATACTTTCAATGCTTTCCTATGGAGAATTGAACGATGCTGGAGGTCCTC